ATGAGTACGGTTTATGCTTAACTTAATTAAATATTTTTTTAACCGTTATTATGTACTCGGTTATTTATGAATTTAATTAATGTTTATTTTTTTGTAGGTTGTATTCCTCCGATGTTTGCTCTCGCTCAATCGTTAAGACATTCTAGGAGTATGTTCATATTTCGGGATGGATATGGAAGAAAATGAGTCTAGAGACAAAAGATTTTTACTAAAAAGAATTTAAGGTTCTAATTTCTAAATTTTATTTGATTAATTATACTATTTAATATTTAATTAAATAGCACAAAATAATATGACAATAAATTTATTAATGTTTATTATTATTATTTTTTTACGAAATCATTTAAGTGGGATGATGATTTAAACGAGAGCATAGTTAAGAAAGCATGGAAAAGTCTCGCACGGAAGCGATATCCCGACTTCCTTTGTCGTCTAAGGAAAAAACCGAAGCCAGCATATATCTCACAAGAAATATGGGATGCATGGACAATGGAATGGACGAAACTCGAGGCCGTTGCTCGATCTAAGATGGCGACGACGGAACCGTAGGAGCGAGATTGGTGGAGTCGGAGCTGGTCCTCTAGACATACGAGGGGATCAATCAGCCATAGAGAGCACGCCATACGCATGGTAAAAAATATATATTAATTTATTTATTTATAATTTTTTAAAAAATAATACCCAAAATAATTAATTAAACATTTGACTATATTTAATACATTTATGTTTATTTATATATGTTTTCGGCGTAATGTGTTGGGTCGTGAACCCGATCCTCACGAGGTTTTCTTGAGGACTCATCGGAGAAAGGTTAATGATCGGTTAGTCTTCGTCGATCAATGATCGAGGGTTATCGGAGTAAGTGATAACTTTGAAACGTTATTTAATATATGTTAGTTAATAATGTTATTTGACATACGTATTTAATATGATGTGTTTCACAATTATACGGAAGACCGTACAAAGATTAATTAATGAGGAAGAGGTTGCTAGCCGACATTCGGGAGGGACTAAAGTGACCTCACCCGACATTAATGACATCTTTCGGAGGGCCATTGGTGGAGTAGATAGTAGGAGGAAGAGGATGTACGGACTCGGGTCACATGCATCGCACTATTATTTTACTCGTCAATGCGAGCTCAACTTTTGCTACTTTCGGATTCAATGCGAGTGACGAGGCACGGCTTAAGGAATTACAGGAACAAACTTCGCAAACACGACGCACATCAATAACTTAGAGGGTACCGTCAACGACTTATAGGGCCGAGTGGCATCGTTGTTGGATACGACAAATGAATTGAGAACTTATAGTCGCCGGCAGTATACGATGATGTCACATATGCGACAGATGTTCATACGGCATTTTGAGCGTGGTGGTAGTTCATCCGTCGTTCCCGAGATCGACGACGACGCAACCCAACCTCCGGACGACTCCACCTGACCTTCGACCGATCCCGGACATTAATTAATTTTAGCTTTTCTCGTTTTCTTGTATTAATTACAATTGATGTACTCGTTTTTTGTTATTTAACAATAATTTAATTATTTAGCGACGTTTTAATATATTTCGAATAATAAAAATTTACGTTTACGATATTTTACGAGATTTGGGTTATTTTAAAATAGTTACTTTTACCTCATTTTATTATAGCTATAAAAAAAATTATTTTTCTAATTCGCGACGATCTTAGAAACAATCTAGCACCGTCGCTAATCCATATCTATTTAGAAACGGGCATATCAAGGGTTTAATAGACCGTCGTGAATTTCATAATTGTTTACATTGACATTTAGTGACGAACTAGCAACATTTTTTACCATCGTTAATTTGTAACGAGCAAAACCGTCACTAAACCATACCAACGAGCTTTTTAACGACGGTTACTAGACCGTCGCTAATTAATCGTAAAAACGTTTTCGCAACGATTTTTTTATTTAGCGACGGTTTTGCCCGTCACTAATTGGCATTTATCTTGTAGTGGTTATTATCAATGCAAGTGGCATCTACTTGGAAGAGCTAGCCGTTATGGCTCAATATCTAGTTCCCTACACCCCAACCACCCCCTACGACACACACACACACACACACACTTTTAGTACCCAATTAAGATTGCACTCCTAAAGAAACTAATAAAGTTAATGCTAGAGCTCTAGACTAATACGATTACTTTCTTTTGTCAATGAAAAAGAAAAATCCGATTATTTTTATGAATTAATTCATATTATTATTATTTGATTTTACCACATATCCAAACTCTATAATAAATTAATGAATTAGATTAACGATAAACTTCATCTAACATTAAGTTTTGGCTATATAAGATGGACGCATATTGTAGTCTTGAAAAATAGATTGTTAGAGAAATATATAATTATTACTAGTTTTAATCTTTGTTAGCAAATTGAAATATCATGATAAATACGATATCAAAAAAATTACAAATGATATAATCTGGACACAACTATCTCATCAATATCATGAGACAACATATATACTAATAATCTTTAAAGAATTCATATTAAAAAGAAAAGATGAACACCTAATGAACATTTAGTATTATGATTGGCTAATAAATAATAACAATAATGAGAATTAATTCATAAAAGTAACTAAATTACTTAATATATTTAGGGTATAAATTGGAAGATAAATTCTAATTGTTTTCTTGATAAATACGATATGAACTCGAACTTGCCAATTACTGTTCAGCAGGATGTTATTCTCTACAGCAAAAAATCTCTAGAGAATAATTAGCTGAATCCGTAACAGCACAAATCACCATAGCCAAATTCAGCTCCAAAATCACCCAAGGATGACCATCGATTATTCCATAGTAAGGGCATTCCAACTTGTGTGGGTAGGAAATTCCCATAAAATTATTTTGACACACAAAAATAAAGTTAAATATGGAGAACCAATTAATTACTTCCAATATCAGCGGAGGTCACCTTTGTCCGGAATATTTGTGTTATGTAGATGTACATTAATGCTCATAATCCAACTCTGAGCTCTTTTTTCACTTTTCAAGAATACCCATGAGTGCAAGCTCGCCGGTTCCAACTTAATTTCACAAAATTACGTACGCGTGTTGGCTAAGTTCATACTTTCATTAAGTAGAAACTCGCTGGCTTGGCGGGTTCCGTGGTTTGATGAGTTTCTCCCATTCCAGCCTAATGGGTTCCTGAAATTGAGCTAGTTCCACGTCGATAATTTAGCACATCGACAGGTTTAATAAGAGAAGTTTTAAAATATTCAAGAAATAATTATTATATAATTATAAAATTATTCCATAAGTACATTTTTAAGAAAAAAATATATATATATACATAAAAAAGAAAAAGAAAATTAGATCTAAACCATTAAAAGTGATAAAAATATTTTTATTGAAATTCTTTTTTTCTTCTTTTTTATCTATTTCTCTTTGTATCTTGCTCTATTTGATAGAATAAATATTAATAATGACTTCCTAATATAAAATTTATGGGTCTAACGCTCATAAACTCTTTCAGATGTTCAAGTGTACGAGAATGCTTTTAAAAATCTAATTTTTCACATTATAGAGACGCGGAAAACACGGATCAAGTCCTTGTTCTTATAGGAGTCTGTCAACTTTAATCGGAATGCTGCAAGTCGGCCCATAACACTATTTTCACTAGTTAGCGGGCTTGGATTCAATCCAATGTCAAGTCCAAAGACCACATGTGCCAGTTTCTACTCGGTCCAAAGTTTTTCATTCTGAAAACTGTCAGGGACGGTGTTTCTCTTCCTTCTTCTTTTCAGAATTAATGTTGGGTAGCACTGTGGCACCTCTTGTACGGTATGAATTTTCTACTGTCTCAATCACATGTCGGTAGATAAATTACTTGTGAATTCACCTCTTAAATGTAGCCAAATAAAAATTATCCATTCGCAAGCTAAAAAAATTGCAATAATGAAGTAAGTAGTAGCGAAATCTATGTATGATCCACATGCTCTTGCTCTTCAATATTAACTTGACCCGTTGCCTCAACAACAGACAGGAGACATCTCCATTTAGTCTAATGAATCAAATATTTGGACAAGAATGGAAAATATATACATAAATCTCTTAGAAACGTCAACAACATTTTATGCAGTGATTTTATATATTATTTCTATGACAAATAAATAATTATTTGTATAATTTTATAAAAATATTATTTGTATAAACTTAAATATTATTTGTATAAAATCTTAGTTATTTGTTCTATTAAGTATAAAACTTTTTTCCCTTTAATCTGACAGTCTATTATTATTGTTATTATTCCACAGTTTCTAGATTCGGGAAACAATTGGAAACTTTAAGATGGCAGTCACACCCTTTGAAAATAAGAAAAACCTCGGTTTTTCCTTTTTGTTGCACTAAAATTCTGTTCTGCAGAGTAAAGAATCTTACTATTCGTTAACGGAATGATAGAAGGCGACACGCAATCAGATAAGTTTGGTTTACATTTGCTATTCAAAGTAAATCCAAAACAAATCTAAAAACAACTGAAAAAATCCCACAGTACCCAAAAAGCAAAGGAAACGCAGCTGACGGCGGATCCACGAGAGGAAGCCAAAAACCAAACAGTATCACATGCATATCCCCTCGTTTTACCAAAACTAACGGCTGTGATCAAACCCCACCTCCTCAATCCAACGCCCTTAAACACAACCGTGTTTCCACCTCCAATCTTAAAAAATTCACTCATAAATCCTCCTCTCACAGACCCTAACCATCTCTCTCTCTCTCTCTCTCTCTCTAAGCCTTCAGATTCATTTCCTTTCAGCTCATAAAATTTTTTCTCTTTTTTTTAAATTTAATTTATAAATAGGGAAAAAGAAATATTACTTCTATTTTTACGCCATTTCATATAAGAATAAGATGCAATCCAGCGGTTCTGATTCACAGCCACAGCAAGAGCAGAATCAACGACAACAACAACAGCAGCAGCAGCAAGGACAACAACAGCCGCCGCCGCCACAGCAACAACAGTGGATGCCTATGCAGTACCCGGCGGCGGCTATGGTAATGCAGCATCAAATGCTGCCTCCTCAACCTTATGGACCGCCGCCTCCACAACACTATATGGCTGCTGCTGCGTACCACCAGTACCAGCAGCATCACCACAATCTCCCGCATGTACAACACACGCAGCAGCAACAACAAAGAGAAGGATCCAGCGGAGAGAATAAAACCATATGGATTGGTGACTTGTATCACTGGATGGACGAAAATTATTTACATACATGCTTTGCTTCAACTGGCGAGGTATAAACATGAAATAATTTGTATTTGTACGTGCACATTTAAATTCACTTTTTTATTTTTATTTTAGATTATTGCGTCATTTTATTTAATCAATTGTAATATTGTTTGAGAGAAAAAATTGCACAAGCTGATTGTTGTATTTTGTCTGTCTATTGATGCTAAATATTCCTCAAAGTTTGAAGGCAATGAAGGTAACATGGCTTTGTTGGTGTTTGCTAACTTGAAAACTTATTTTAAAATTAAAGAATAAAACGGATTCTAACACTTACAAAAAGAATTATTGAAACGTAGTTTCGTACACATAGAACGTTTGATAATGATAGAATTTTGTGGTTTTGATAGAATGTATTTGTAAAAAAGCTATTCAAGGCATAAGCTTCGTGACTTATAGTCATAGTAACCTGCATTTAGCTTATACAATGAGCTATTACTTTTAAAATGGATATTTCTTATTGTTCTTGTGTAATGCATCACTGTGCCGGTCCCAAAGGAGTAAATTGTTCTTTATAATTTTAATGATTTTTTTTTACAGTTTGGTGACTGTGCCCTCTAGCGTCTGACAACCAGTGTTGTGTGTTGACAGATTGCTTCCATCAAGGTTATTCGCAATAAGCAGACAGGTTCGTCTGAGGGCTATGGATTTGTGGAATTTTTTACACATGCCACAGCTGAGAAAGTTCTACAGAACTATGGTGGCATTTTGATGCCTAACACTGAACAGCCTTTCCGCCTCAATTGGGCAACATTTAGCACGGGTGATAAGCGATCAGATAATGCTCCTGATCTTTCTATTTTTGTAGGAGACTTGGCTGCAGATGTTAGTGATAGTTTATTGCACGAAACATTTGCTAGCAAATATCCTTCTGTTAAAGCTGCAAAAGTTGTATTTGATGCCAATACTGGCCGTTCAAAAGGTTATGGTTTTGTGAGGTTTGGAGATGATGGTGAAAGAACACAGGCAATGACTGAAATGAATGGTGTATATTGTTCAAGCAGGCCTATGCGTATTGGTGCTGCAACTCCCAGAAAGTCCTCTGGTATTAGATTATTGATCTTTATTTAAATTTTTATCATACTACTTAATTGTTTGATTTGGGCCTCTATTTTTTGTTGTTTCACATGACATTTTTATTTTCAATCTCTTCTTAACCTTATTTAGGGAAATGGGAAGTTGGATCTGTTAAGAACTTCTATTTCTTTTCGCTCTGTCTCTGTCACATGCAAACTCTCTTCAACCTCTCTGCTAACCTATTAAAATTTATTCCAAATGATCCTCTAAAGACCTTTATGATCTGCTATATGGACTATGTTTCAATCTTTTGTAGTAGATACTGATTTACATGATTTTCACCCTACTTTGGGTTTGGAAGAAACAAAACGCTTTTGGAAGTTTTATGTTTATCTCCAATTATGATGGTAATTTGATTGAAATCTGATGGATCGGTGTCATGTAGTGCTATGATTAGGAACATGTTCAGAGTACTCATTTCTGCTCCATTCATGCTATCTGGATTTTTTTTTTCTTAAAATGAAAAAAAAAAAAAAAAAAAAGAGCCATGGTTTCTCTATATACCCAGTTCTATTTCACTTGCAGAAGTTGTTTACTACATATCTTTGCCTTACAGGGGGTTTTGATTATTTACCAGTGCTTTTTCCTGTTTGTACCTTCAACCTTCTGAATTTGTCATCAAACTGCCTTCTTTTTATGGGGCTGGAAATGCCACCTTCACGTTGGAGCTATGCTCAACTCTTCTTGTCTTATTTTTAGGTGGATATGCATCAAATGGTGCCTCTGCCCAAGGCTTCCAATCAGATGGTGATTCCAACAATACAACAGTGAGTCTTCCAGTTTCTTTGTGCATTTTAATCTTTAGGAGACCTATGTTTTTCTTTTGAATTGACCGTGTTTCTTTGTAGATTTTTGTTGGGGGGCTTGACCCTAATGTCACTGATGAAGATCTCAAGCTACCTTTCTCTCAGTATGGTGAAATAGTGTCTGTTAAAATACCAGTTGGTAAAGGATGTGGCTTTGTACAATTTGCCAACAGGTAAAACTTGTGGCTGTAACTCTGCTTTTACTTAACAATGTGCGAGTAATAAAGCATTGGTTAGTTATTTCCTCATTAAAGAGTTACTACATGATTCTCCATCTAACTTCAATTGGCAGAAATAATGCTGAAGAGGCATTGAAGAAGTTGAATGGAACAGTAATTGGCAAGCAAACAGTGCGACTTTCTTGGGGTCGCAATCCAGCAAATAAACAGGTATACATTCTCTCTCCCTTTCTCTCCACGGCCACCTTACATCCTATCTTTCTTTAATTACCTTGCCAGATAGGATGTGATTGGAATAAATGCAAACTCTTTTTGCCTAATTACTGTACGTTTTGATTACATAGTTCAGCGGTAATTAGCTTGGTTGGAAATGTTTTTATTTGTTAGTTTGGTAAGATAGCTGTTTATTATGTCTGAAGGAAGTTTTGACTGCATGTTTTGTTAGAAGGGATTTGAGTACTATGAAATTGGATAGCTGTTTATTATATCAGTACTACATAGTTCAGGCAGTAATTAGCTTGGTTGGAATTGTTTTTATTTGTAAGTTTGGTAGGATAGCTGTTTATTATGTCTGAAGGAATTTTTGACTACATGTTTTGTTAGAAGGGATTTGAGTACTATGAAATTGCAGTCTTTTTTTTGTAGGGGTATTGAAAAATCGTGGTCTTATCAAAGCTGAAAATCTTTTTAACTTTCTCTGAAGTAATTCTGCGAAAGATGTCCAAAGCAACCATTATTAGAAATCATCTGTTTGATATGAGTTCATATTATGTTTCAAGCCTTTTTTTCCCTTTTTTTTTTTTTTGGTATATTTCATTCTTGTTTATTGTGCTGGTATTGTTGAGATATGGCAGTTTAGAGCAGATTTTGGCAGCCCATGGAATGGGGCATACTATGGAGGGCAGGTTTATGATGGTTACGGGTATGGTCTGCCACCACCACATGACCCTAGCATGTATGCTGCAGCAGCTGCGGCATATGGGGCTTATCCTATGTATGGCAGCCACCAGCAGCAAGTAAGCTGAGTATCCTATGTATGGCAGCCACCAGCAGCAAGTAAGCTGAGTGAATTGTACAACGAAACAACACCACGAAGTAGCTTTGGTAATCGGTATTTATCATGCTAGAAGGGGAAATTTTGTCTCATTTCTCTGCAGTTCTATTGATTCTGTAGAATTCTTATAAATCCCTCCAATTTGTGGGGTGGAACTGAATTTTGATGACTTGAGGTAGTTTTGTAGGGATTTAATCAATCATTTGTTTAGAATTATAGTAGCTGAAGAGAAACTTTATCCGTTGGAATAGATGATTTTGCAGTATGCTGTCTGAAATAAAAGTTGTGCTCCAGAGTGTGTCTGTCAAGCCCTTTTTCTACTTTTTTGAAAAATCTGCTCTACTGTGAGTTTCCTTAGTTTGACCTATACTTATTCTCTAGGATGTTTGCAGAGATGCTTGATATTATCTTGTTATGATATCAGTTCAATTTAAGTGTGTGCCAGGATGGCTGAAATCTGCGATTTCATTTCTTAAAAGGCTCTTGGACGTATTATTTTTTAAAAAAAGTTTAGGCGACACCTGTTTCTTCCTAAAGAGCGATATCCATTGTGAAATGCGGTCTCCTCAAAGGTGTGCATGCCTGGCGATTGTTCTTAATTGTTAAGGCTTGCTATCTCATTTCTTAAGTAGTAGCATTCTTTGAGAGAACGCCAGGGAAAAAAAAAAAAAAACCAGCGATGGACCTTCATACTTGTCGGTCTAATGGAAGCTATGAAAGGGCTTTGGTTGAATATGTTTGATTAAAACAGAAAGTAATATTATGTATTTTGTCAAGGGTTTGGACGTATTTTTGTTTTTAAGTTTAGGCGACATCTGTTTCTTCTTAGAGAGCCATATCCATTGTGAAGTGCGGTCTCCTCAAAGGTGTACATGCCTGGCGGTTGTTCTTAATTGTTAAAGCTTGGTTTCCCATTTCTGAAGGAGTAGCATTCTTTGAGAGAACGTCAGGACCCAAAAAAAAAAAAAAAAAACAGCAATGGGCCATCATACTTGTCAGTCTAATGTAAGTTATGTAAGAGTTTGGTTGGATATGTTTGACCAAAACAGAAAGTAATATTATCTTTTTTCTTATCTTACTTTATGTGCCGGAGGTTTGATTCAATGTATGATACCGTCGATCACGTGTCCCAGCAGTTACGCCATTCATCCAAGCATCTTGCCTGTTATTGTCTATCACAAAGCCACACAGTGTATTTCGTCCTAAGCGACAGCGACTCGAATGAATTAGTGAATCGGTTGACGAACTTCCGTGACGCTCCTATTATGACGTTCAGAAACAGACTTGCCAAGCCTCTAGGGCTTCGTCCCAAGCTGTCCAGAGGAAAAACTTGTACACTTTCTATGTACTCAATCGAATAAAATATATTTATTTTAATTTGATAGTTTATAATATGTCATTAGTCAATTAAAATGTATAAAATTAAAGATAAATTTTTTTTATCTAATTTCAAAATTTTTAATCAAGATTTTGTATTTAATTTATTCTTTTGTATGTTTTTCATAAATTTTATAGTTAAAAAATACAATCCATTCTTCTTTATGCATTTGTTTTTAAATTAAAAAAATTTAATAATCTATATAAAAAATTTAATTGAAAATAAAAAAATGTCTTAATAATTTTTTTTAATAAGCTTGCATCGAAAGAATAAAAAAATAATTAATATAAAAACTCATATAAAATTTAACTAATGAAATTTTTAATGTTTAATGCTAAGAATACTTTTTTTAAAAAAAATATGTACATTTGGCTTATGTATATTTATTTACAAAATAATCAATAATATTAGTAAAAGAATTGTATTTGAATTATTAGGTGGTTCTTCAAAAACATTATTTTATTTGAAATAAATTAATTTTAGAATATTAAAAAAATTTAGTAGCAAACGAGTTGATGTTACTAGGGATGAGCAACCGGTTCAATGATTCGATTTTATACAATTCGATTCGGTTTTCGATTAACCAAATTAAGAAAAACAAAAATAAAAATTGAACCGAAATAAATTTCGTAAATTCCATTGGAAACCGAATTATTTAAGTTACGTTTCGAAAAAATTTGATTTTAATCGAAATATTTTATCGGAAAAAAATTCATTCCACTTCCGCATTTTGCCTAGCAGAATAATGTCTATTTTAAACACTTCCATATGCCCTTGTTGTTCAACAATAAATAGTTAATAGATGTGACACAAGCATCCAATTTTGCTCGAATAAGATGAATGTTCATATTTATTTATTTTGTATCCCAAAAGACCCAACCAAGTACAACATCCAATTCCAAAGAGAAAAACTAGCACTAGATCATACTAAAACCTCTTTTGTAAGTTTGTCGATTATGCTTTGAATGAAGAATTGGTCCGAAAAGAAGATAATTCTTTATTCAATCTTGTACATGCATATTAGCATAGGATGACTAAGACTACATGGATTGGATTCTCAAAAAGGTCCATCAATCAAATTCAATGGCATCTAAACAAATGACATGCTTGTATTGCATCATTAAAAAAATTTAAATGGTTAGATAATTTTATCCTAACAAGATCTATTATGACAAATTAAGTAAGGATGTAGAGATGATCAAACAAAATACTAACCAATGTACAAAATAGACATGAATTGATAATTGTGCAAATGTAAGTTTCAAGCCCACAACAAAAAACAAATAATAACAACATAGTACGAGTGAAATGTTTGTAATTATATCATCAAGTGGTCACACAATACAAACTAAATTATTCAATCTTGATCACTTGCCCAAGAATCTATAATCGTGTTTGCTTGGTCGGTGTTACGACCTTGTAGGCTTACAATGACGACGAGTGGTGCAATAGGTAAATATGAACAAAATCAAAATATTTTATCAACATATACATATACTTTTGGATCACATAACCATCAACATATTTCAACCAAGAATAGAATCAAAATTATAAACTTAATAACTTACACATATCACCAAAAAATAAAAAACACCATCAAGTCATCAAGTCATCAACCCATCAAACATTTGTAGTAATGGCGATGACAATTGGTAAATTAAAAATATAAGATAAAAATTAACACTTTAATATTATTATAGAGGAAATAAATAACAAATATAAAGATAGAGTTACATAAATTACCGAACTTGCATTTTCTCAATATCTTGCAAATTTTCTTCAATAATAATTAGTCTCGATAAATTTTTAATCTAATCTTGAGCACATATGATAGATTCCACTAAGGTAAGAGTTACAAAACTCCTAAGGCGATCAAAAACTCTTCCTCCGATGCTAAATGTTGATTATGAAGAAACAGGAACCACTAATACATCACGAGCCATTTGTGAAATGATGAGAAATCGAGGAGAATTGTTTTTTCACCACTCTAAAATATTAAGATAGCATCTTCATTAAGATATTTATCCAACTTCATTTTATTTTCTCCACCTCCAATATCACACTTGTATTTTTCAAAGCACATCATTATCTTCAATTTTACTCTACTTTTCCATTGATCAACCATTTCTTCATTTGTACAATCCACATCTATTCTCCTACCACTTTAGCCGAGTTTGATCTTGAGGTGTTGACAAATGACTTTAAAAATCAAACATGGCATATATAGATTCCTTCACAATATTTATCATATTTTGACCCTCCAAATCATTATACAATTCCTTAATTGAAAATTCAATAGATACAAGTTTATGTCTATGATCAATTATCATCGTAATATAAATCAATTTGTTCATTTTCTTAATATTCTCTTAATACTTTTTAAACCTTTCTTTCATTTTACTAGCTAATAAAAAATCATCAAAATCCCCACTTTTTCATCATTTTTTTAAAAACATGTTCGAGCACATGAATCTCATTAAAGTAAATATTTGAAGTCACTAAGAAGAGCACAAAATAAGTAAAGTTATGTTGTAAAAATTTTTCAACATGCCCACTATTTCTTACAAGTTTTCCAATCATCAACATTAGGTGGCCCAACAACATTATCACCATGATTTACATCAAGTTCGTCTGCTATATAAAGGTTCAATTTACTCGTATCTCTTAAAATCTCTCTCAAACTTTATAGTTAACTCTAACATAAAATATGTTGAATTCCATCCGAGTTGTGACATCTAGTTGTAACAAACTCTTAGAATCAATCTTCTCAAGTTGAATGTATTTCTTAAATATTCTCAATCTAACTGGAGGTTGTCTCATAAACCTAACACTTGATTGAATATAAATGACCGAAAGATTAAATGTTTCAACCCATCAACAACAACTATATTCAAAGTATGTGTCATACCCTATAATTGGTCTCTATACATTTTTAATTTTTTTTATTAAGACCCTCCGTTATTTTTTAGTTTGATTGAAACCTTATGCTCTTATAAATTTATTGATCGAGACACCTCCTTTATAACACCGTTAACTACTCATCCTATGTGGTACGTTAAAAATAACGATAATAAATTAGATAAAAACACGTGGTATAATGGGTTTTAAATATCAATGTTACTTGTAAAAAATTAAAAAAAAAAGATCTAAAAATATTTTAAATATAAGGATTTTCTTCTTCATCCGAACATAAAAAAGAATAGTTAAAAAATGTAGGTAGGATGACTGCCATTGTTCATCTTCCTCCTCATTCATTCGAACCATTAGAGAAAAAAAACCCTTGCTTCACCTGACCACTCTCTTCCTTACTAAAACCCGAAATCAACCCATTTACCCATTTCATACATAACCTCAATTCTTAATAACATCTTTTAAGTGTTTGATTATCACATCATTTGAACTAGTATTATCAATTGTAACGAGTAAAAACCTTCTCAATTTCTCAATCAATCAAGCATTTCTCAATGTCAATACCTAAATTTACTCCTTGATGAATATCAATTGTATTAAAATTCAAGATCTTTTCATATAATATTCAATTATTATCAATAAAATAAGTCGTTAAACACATATAATTGATTATTTAAATAAAT